TCACTGAGTTACGCAAGCCCCTTCGCCACGACAAGGCAGTGATCCATGAAGGGGCAAAAGATAAGTAGCTTTGCTATTAGCCTCTGTTGATGTCTTTTATCAGGAGAATTTAATCAGGAATGCTCAATTAAGCAGCACAGCTTACTCTATATTTTTTTTTCATTTTTATAAGCAATAGAAGCACTAGTCTTATACCTATTTATAAGACTTGTGTTGAAGTTTTGGGGTTTTTTTTGTTTTTTGTTTTTTGTTTTTTTTGTTTGTCTGTTTTTTGGTGCCTTTGAGTCAGTGTTTGACTCCTGGTGACTGCTTGGACAAGTCCCTGCAGTTTTCTTGGCAAGGTTTTTCAAAAGTGGTTTGCCATTGCCTCCTTCCTAGGGCTGAGAGAGAGGAAGTGGCCCAAGGTCACCCATCTGGCTTTGTGCCTAAGGCAGGACTAGAACTCACAGTCTCCTGCTTTCTAGCTTGGTACCTTAACTGCTTACATCAAAGTGGAACTAGATGAATATTAACAATGGCTTAAAACAGAAGTAGAAGAAGTTGACAGCTTTTCAGGATGAGACAAATTGCAAGAGTGCAATAAATACATATTTTTAAAAAGATACAGTACATTTAGCTTTTTTATTGTTTTATTCATGCTTATTGTACTGTTTGTTTGTGAAAGCATTTGTGTTGTGCACAGCCAGGAAATGTGGCAAATTTAAAATCTAAATGCACATATATAAACAAAATAAACAGCAAATCAGAAGCAGTCATTTTAGATGTAAGAGTCTACCTTTTATCTCCTCAAGCTTGCTTTGATAAATGTTCTGCCAACTTTTGGCAAAAGGCTTATTCTAAATTTACTAACACAAGGTAGCAAAAAATAAATAAAATATAGCATAATGAAGAAAAGGAACACAAATACATTCATACTTAGGGGCATACATGCAACATGCAATCAAGCAAAAGACAACATTTTAAACATCTATATTCAATACTTCTACAATTGTTCTTAGTATCTCTTATCTCCTAGCAAACTGACCAATTCTGTCTTCACTGTTAAGAGGGAATGCTGCACTATTAAGAGCCCAGACACAAATGAAGCTGATAACTAAATCTATACTTTCTCTATCTTCCTAAAAAATGCTATAGGACTCATGCTCTATAGGTGGCTTTGTTGAGGACACAGAATGAAGAGAGCAGAATGCAGGGTGAAGTTAGTATGGATCACTATGTTCAGATCACTATAGTCACAAAGTCCGTATAACTAGATTTTGCCAGCCATTTGCTGAAGGCTCTGCAATGACATCCATTTTCAGGTTGTTGCTATTGGGTTGTTAAGGCCCTAAATTACTCTGGCCTAGGTTATCTGAGGAACTACCCTACTTTTACAGGCTAGTCCTCATTCCATTCTGGCAAGGATATCTAGTTGTATGTATCACAGCCTTTTGATATTCATTAGTGTGGTTTGGAGGTCAGAATTCTTTGTTGTAGTCATCCCCTCATGGAAATAATTCTCACTGGAGATTAAAAGACTTCAACTGTGACATGCTTTCATTGGAAGTTGAAAACCCGTTTGTCCAGATCTTCTCTTCATTTCCATTGTCATCTCGCCAGCATCCTAATAAACGCTTATTAAATATTTTTATCTTTTTCAGGTCTTACCTGTTATATCATTATTGTTTAAAATTAGTAACCCTGGTTTCAAAGCTAAACATGACCACCAAAATCTAATGTTACTTTTCAGAGCGTTGTTCGGTGTCTTTGGCATCCTAAACTGAACCAAATCATGGTTGGAACAGGAAATGGATTAGCAAAAGTATACTATGATCCCTTCAAAAGTCAAAGGTACTAAATTTATTTTTCTCATTTATACATCACCAAAATTTTATGAATCATGATGGTTAACAGTCATAAAATCATAGTAAAAGTTTAAAAGCCACAATAAAAATTCAGCATAAAAATTAAAATGTTACAGTAGGATGGCACTAATCCACCTTGCATGATGCCATCCCTCAGAGCCCTGAGGTCCTGTCCCCGCAGCTTTTAGAAAAGCCACAGGAATTAATTATATTGTGATCTGATTTCATGGGTGGATATTGTAAAATCCCTTTGAAATCTGTTTGCTTTTTTTTAAAAAAAAGGTTAACAATTTGTGTTTCAAAAATACATTGGAACTTAACATTATCTGTATGAACATTTCTGGAATGCTGCATCTAAAAATTCAGAAGTGTCACTAAGGTTCCACCAGTGTAATGAACCAAAATCAACAGCTGGGTGATTTATTAAGCTGGGAATGAGTATCCTGCCCAGGCCCAGCATTCTTGCCCCCAGCTGACTTTGGTGCTTGTGAGCCTGATAACTTTAAACGAGAGTTTCCCATTATGTCTAAAATAGAAGATTGCATTTTAATCTTGGTTTTTGAGATTAAATCACGTATAGTTTGTAGCCCAGAATAAAACCACTACGTTTAATTTCAGCAGTAATGGGAATTTTTTTATACAAGGAGCAAAGCTAACACACAAGAGATTGTCTCTGAATTGGTGAAGTCCTGATTCCCAGGTAGTTTTTTTCAACATGCATTTGTGTAATGTATTTATGCAGCTGGGTTCTGCGCTCATGTTCAAGAAGGCAGTTAAGAAATAGAAGCAGATTTCTGGTCCGTCCCACTGTTTTTGCAGCCCCTTCTCATTAATGTTACAACAAAAAGCAAATGTGAAAATGAAAAATGTCAAATAGATGGTTTTTCCCCACTCTCATCTTTTTTTCATGTAAAATTTATGTATCATCACTGAATTTGGACTGAGCATCTTGCTGACATTTTGTAATATTCTAACAACTACAGAAATATTTTGTAGTACTTTCATTTCCCCAGGGGTAGAAAAGTGCTTTTTACAGGATAGTATGTAATTTTCCATCTCAAAACAAAAAAACTGCTTTTGGGGCAACCAGTCTCATAATTGTGGGAACAAATATAAAGCAATTTCCCACATATGTGATTCTGTAAGTGAAAGGGTGAGATATTTTAAGAAAACTTTGATGGTTTTGTATATGTTTTAAAATACTTCATTTCAAAATTGAAAACATTGAAAATCTTTGTTGCTGAGAGTCTACCATTTTTCAACATTTTCCCATTTTCTGCAGGGGGGAAGTGGTCAAGAAAGTCAACATGGCTGCTGTAACAGCCTGATTGAAGCCCCAACTTCTTTACATGCCTCACATGTAAAAAGGGGCAAGTTTTTAATGACACAATCATTGTAACTTTTTTGACCCCACTCCCCCATGGATATCTGTTTCTCTGTCTGTGGTACAAAATAGGAAATATAAATAATAGGCATTGTTGATGGTTGCCTGATTTTCTCCAGGCATTTTCAGTATGGTGCTACCAACCCTTGCATAGGCAGGGAGGAGATCAGATTAGGAAAGGTTGTTCTGACAATCTAGACCTTCACAGATAGTCCTTCATTCAAAGCTCTGTAACTCAGGAAGCTGTGTGGTCAGCAAACCCAGCACTATCTCCCAGGTATTTGCAACATCGGGGGTTCTTAGAATTGGGGTGGGATCTTGGGAAAGAGAAAAGAAAGTATCTGATTATATTGTGATCCAAACATCCCCTAGACCAGTGTTTCTCAACTCAACAACTTTAAGATGTGTGGAATTCAACTCCCAGAATACACTAATTGGTTCCTGAAATTGTTAGGCAAATTCTGTGTCAGAAAAAGGCCACATTAGTAGCTGACTTATTCCAGCTACTCTTGGTAGAACATTTTTACTTAAATCATTAGGATCACAGATTTTTGGTTTTGTTCCTCCTACCACATAGCTAAGAGGAAGAACTTCAGAGGTATTCATTTCTGCTTTTGAGAAACTACAAATTGCTGTAAGACCTAAAATTATGATTAATCTAAACAAGCCAGCTTCACTAATTACAGATGGAAGTCGACTTTCTTTGAAACTAGCTGTGGTAATTCTTACCACTGTTCATTGGTCCAGATAACCTAACCAACCACACCCAAACAAAAGCAGGTGTAAATTTCCAAACTTCTCTTTTTTTGGACATACAACCGGAAAAAGTGTATTAATCCTAATTCTCATTGTGTATACTTTGTAAATTACCCAAATTTTCAGTTGAAATTGGCATAGCCTATAAATCTGTTAAATAAGGAAATAAACTGACTTGGGGGAGGGGTCCCTTCAAGTCAGTATTGACTCCTGGCAACTGCCTGGACAAGCCCCTGCAGTTTTCTTGGCAAGATTTCAGAGGTGGTTTGCCATTGCCTCCTTCCTAGGGCTGAGAGTGGCCCAAGGTCACCCAGCTGGTTTGTGTGTAAAGTGGGACTAGAATCCACAGTCTCCCAGTTTCTAGCCTGATGCCTTAACCACTACACCAAACTGGCTCTTACTCTCCCAATTATGGTATTTACATAAGTAGCCTGGATATGCTAAAGAAATATTAAACTATATATTGGGGGGAGGGGGAAAAATCTATAGATTTATTTAAATATCTGACTTTTAATTGCATTGTTAAATGTACCTTTTTAAAAAAAATATAAAGTTGCAGTCTTAGAAGTGTTTTGGTCAAATACCCAGCAGACTTTATTTAACTGTTGCCAATCTAGTCTGACAATGGATGCAAACCAGTCTTTCACGTATATCTCCACTATTGTTCCTCATCAACAAAAACCTTACCATTCAATCACAGTGGATTTTGTTACACTTATTTATTGGGTGTAAGCCCCATTGAACATAGCAGGGACTTGTTTCCAAGTGAATATGCCTCAATTGTACAGTAAAACTGCTTTTGAACTTTGCCCAGAATCTTTTTTTTTAGTTACTTTTATTATTAAATTAATGAAATGCAAAGAAAAAAAAAGGTCTGCATTGAATAGTAACAGATAAAACACAAAAAAGAAACAATTAGAAAGCATAAATAAAAATATAAACAAAAATTATGGGAAAGTTTTCTTTTTTTATATAGATATAGATATATAAAAGATTTTTAATCTTAATCTTTTATTCATCAATTCTGTTTGACGATCTTCTATTTTCATATTTTTTGTTAGCATCTTTGTCTTCTGTTAATCTTGAAACTTGATAATGCACCAAATTCTTTTAATTTGCCTGTTATTGTTTCAATTCCCTTTAAAGGATCTTCCAGAACCAACACCAAGTCATCTGCAAAAGCCCTTAACTTATAAGTTT